CAGCGACGCACCAGCACAGTCAGGCGGAGGCGGCCGCGGAGGCCGAGGCAGCGACGCATCAGCACAGGCAGGCAAAGGCGACCCAGCAGGCAGAAGCGGTGACATATTAGCACAATGATGCGGGGGTGGTCCCATAGGTGGTTGGTTAATATCACGCAGAGGCGGTCCCGCAGGCGGAGGCAGTGACGCACCAGCACAGTCAGGCGAAGGCGATGATAGCGCAAAGCTGAACCAGAGGATCAGTGGCACTGACAAAGGCCTGATGTTCCCCAGCCGCGGCGAGGCCCCCATGCCGGACAGGCAAAGCCATTAGCCGACGTTGGTGGCTGGCCCGCGCAATTCCATGACCCAGCAAAGCCGGCAGGAAATGGTCACTGAGGATATCATCCAAGGCCTCCAAAACGCCTGTCGAGAACGGCATTGAGCGCAAGTGGTAAGTCCACCGTGATGACAGGGCCTTGGAGAAGACGGTATACGCCGCATGAGGTTGAGTCTGGGCGATCTCACACAAGGTGCGCAGGTCACCAGCCCATCTATCTGCCAACTGCCCCATATAAGAGCGGCAGAAATCTTCTGACCCTAGGGCGCCCCCGAGGAATCGGCCGCCAGCGGCGGTAATCTGGATGCCACTGTCGAAGAAGATTTCTCTGGCCCTATCCAAATGCTCTGGCTTTGTGATCAGAACAGTTTTGGACGCGTTCGGGTAGTAACCATAACCAGGGCCAATGGCCCGGAGTTCATCCCAGTAATTCCGAAGGCGAGCCAGAAGACCTGCACCCGAGTCATCATCCGCGAACCAAGATTGGACAACACTGGGGCATGTCGCAGCCAGGCGCCTGACCAGTGGCATGATCGCCACAGCATAGGCTGCCATAGCCAGTGGGTCGCCCTGAGCCGTGCCTTCACGCGATTCGATTTCACCTCCACCAGACACAAACAGGCGGGAAACTGATCCATACGTGTTACGAAACACCGTTGCAAGCGGGGGGGGGGGGGGCAGAGACGCGGAATGTTGTGTAGCGCAGCCTGCCTATTCAATGCATTAAATGCATTGGAGGCGTCCACAAGCAAGACACCCTCAACCCCCGGGCCAGCGAACAGACGGGACATTGTGTGTACGGCGGCTTCGCAGGCAGATGGAACGCCCACACAGAGTTGGACAGGAGCTGTTACACTCAGCACATCACTTTCCACTACTGACATCACGGCACGACCAATGATACGCCGGTACACTTCGCCCACAGCGATGGGGCGCACGCCAGGTTTCTTATCGAGGGGTATTAAGCGAGCGGATGTAAATCCAATCATCGCGCAACCGGCAAGGCGCTCGGTACATATGCACCTCCCCGCGGCAGCAAGGGATGAACACAAACGCCTTGACGAGGCGTCATAGCACGTCAGCATTCGGCACCACGCCTCAGCGTCCAGGCCAGACGGTCCAGAGGAACCCTGCATGCCTCGGCCGATTTTCTTTATTAGCTCAGGGGTTATTTGTTGAAAGATGACCTGGTTGACAATCTCGGGATCACCCGGCAAGAGAGCCGAGGCAGGCGGTGTAACAGATGGCGGATGTTTCTTCAACAGGGCGTCACGGACCGTCTCTCCCGTGGTATCATCCACAATGTCGTTCATGGAAAGGACTCCACCAGAAGCGTTTGGCGCCAGGTAGCGAACAGCAGAAGAAATCTTTCCATTGAAAACGAGATTAGCGAACACCACGTCACTCTTCTCCTGTGAGGCGGGCCTGGGAGAGCCTCCGCCCGACGCCGGCAAGTGCGCCTGGATTCAAAGGCACTCGCTCAGTAACTGTGGAATGTCGCAATCTCTCCACAGCACGAGACGTCTGCGAAGATGCTCACTATGGTTTTTCATGATCTTGGATTTGTGTGGTTTTTGCAAGAGAAGGTGACAAGCAACGCACACAGCTCTCCATGCGACATCTCTTTTACCGGAGTCATCCGCAAACCCAAGGATCAAAGATGCGAGCTCGTCAACAAAGGCTGCACCAGCGGATCCATGGGGTATAATGAACAGATTGCGTCTCCAGCCTACCACGACCTCGTAGGCATCAATGATTCTCGCGGAAAACGGATCCCTGGCTACGCTCGCAACTCCACTACCAGCATCCGCTGGGCTGGGGATAGGCCTCAACCGTGCCTGAGCGGTTGATTCCACATCCACCTGGCCGCCACCAGCGCGGTGCTCCGTATTCATTCCATAATCCTCGGAGCTGTCAAGCACACTGCTTGGCTGGCTGCCACCGAGATCAGCCAGGAGCCGGGTATCCTCTCCAGGACCAGAGGGTAGGGTGGCACTTCGATTAACCGTGGCAAGGTGTGGGGAGCACTCATCACCCTCCTCGCCATTCTCACTAGAGCCGGAGGCATTCTCACTAGAGCCGGAGGCATTCTCACTAGAGCCGCCATCACCCTCCTGGCTGCTAATAACAGAGGCATCAAAAGCACTTGCCACGGTGAGAGGAGGCGCTAAATCCCGAGAGACAGAATGAACAACCGGAGGCCGCGACTGTAGACTTGCACCATCCACACCACAAGAGAGAGCTGGGGCATCATGATGATATTTCGTGTTTTAACATTATTTTCAGAAAATTGCTCTTACAATACCTTGCGTTTCATATTCATAATATTGTTGCCCGTAAAAGCGGCTTGGCCACATGATGATGATCATGAGAAAAGCCTCTTTTACGGGCAAAGCAAATGTATATCATTACAATATGTAAAGTGAACAGGGGAAATCAACACAAAACCAACCGGAAAATGATGAAACACAAAAGCAGTCAAGGAAGTAAATCAATACAAAAACAAGCAATGAACACAGAGTAATAAAAGGGGAAAAACCAAATAGCATTATATTAAGTTGAGGCCAAAGGCAGCACCCTACTCCGCCTGGCGGCACTGGGCCAGAAATGAGTTCGGCTGTCGCCTCTTGCCGTACGAACCGCGGCAACCGCGGAAGCAGGTGACTGCCCATCGCAGCAAGCAGAAAGACAAACGGGTGCGTAGTATGCCCATTACTAGTGGGTACTTCAGTTCAGTATGGCGCTCAACAAACAGGGAGGCCAATGATTTCAGGAATTGAGTAGTTTCTGGGCCACTAAAGCCGTACGTCGAGAACACAAGTGGCGTGAAGGAGCCGCGCTCCACGTTAACCACACATCATCATCATCATCATCATCATCATCAAAAAAAAAAAAAAAATCATCATCATCATCATCATGCAGTCGTAAAATACCGTGCATGTGTGCATATGCATGTGTACCGTCCCCCCCCCCCCAAAGAACGATGTTTGTTTCATGGACGATAAGAAACTTTGGCGACGACTCCCTAGAATGTGTATGACTGTGCTTTAGACATGTGTACGAGTATGTGCATTTCCGTCTATCCGTCTGTCCTCTCCATCTGCAGGCCGGAACGTATCGCCGAGGGTTTTATTCAGCTGCTGGACGAACGTCCCGACTCCGGCCAAGTGATGCGTGTCACCGTCCAGAAGGGAATTGATTACCAGAAGTACCGTGTTCCCAAGGCCAAGTTGTGAGGCACACCGTGGATACTCACAACGGTACACCGTTCCTTCTGATGTTTTACTCGTTGTCGTACTTCTGGAACTGCTATTGCGCCCCTTCCCGGGTTTATTGACCCGGAGGTTATTGCCCGGACCTGGGGCATTTGCATCTTTTTATTTATGTCCTGGGCTTTTTCACCCCGGGGTGTTGTGCCAGACTCACATTGATTTTGGTACCATACCCCAGTTTTCTGTTGTCCCAGGTGATAGGCCCAATGGTCTATTCCACCACAACGGGGTATTTGTCTGTCATGGTTTGTTTCTGTCTATCATGGTTTGTTTGCTGCCTCTGTGCTGCACTGTAAGTTCATGCTTGTGACCAGGGAGTAGTACAATACCGGTATTGTACTACTCCCTGGTTGTGACCCTGTGTGATAATGCAGGACACGGTGTGATTATGCAGGTCACGGTGTGATAATGCAGGACGGTGTGATAGTGCAGGACGGTATGTTGGAGGTTAGGGTTAGTAGCTGTGCAATGTCAAGCACATACCTGGTATGCAGGCATGAACCACAGTGACATACCAAACACACGCGTACACGTGTTCCACTTATGGCAGTCTGTCTTGTTATGTCTGCGCTGAAGCCTTACTACATATATATTAGAGTACTTATTTTAGGATAGAGTTTTCTACTTGTGCACGTGTATGGCACACTGAACTTGTACGAGTAACTCATACTCGTACAATGTCTCAATTTTAAAGGTTTTTTTAGAGAAATTTGTACTGTTTCCCTGTTTGCACCATTCTCTGCACCCCCGCCACACACACACACCGTACTGTGCCCTGCCCGTTCTGGGGACTTGACAGAAGAGAGTTCCCTGGCCTCGGAGTCCGCACACTTTTCCCTGTTTATGTTAAATTTTGACTTTTGATCATATCTAACGTTCTTATCCTCTTTTGTACATGTACTTCATTTATTTTTAGCAAATTTTAATTCCAGATTCAAATTTCTATTTTCTCTCCTGGTTTTATCCGGGCATTGTAAAGATTGGATGAGCCTGTCGACCCGTGTGAACTGGATGCCAATGTGAGCATTGGGATGTGGTCGCACACCTCATGTACCGGCATCAAGAGTATATCCATGGGAACTTATTTTACTCTTGCCGGTACATGTAGTCTTGTGTACACGTACACGTGCATGCGATATCGCTTGCAGTGCAGTGATGCATCGGGTATGCAAGATCCACTATCGGGCCTGGTTCTATACAAGCATCATAATGTACTTCACTCCTTTCCTCATTCCACATCCCTCTACAATCTCAGTTTGGACCACTCCAGAACAAACTGTCAGACACACAGTCAGTGCCATGCAAACGCAAATTCCTGGAGTAGGGGATGGGAGGGGGGGCTCTACAAGTAGTATGTAGTGGTTCACAGAGCTGTCATCGTTTGCTGCTGCTGCTGCTGCGAGCAAACATAAATTACCTAGCACCTCATGAGTACTAGTATGCAATCAGCCAACTCTAGCCAACTCTAGGTCAACTCTAGGTCAACTCTAGCCAACTCTAGGTCAACCGGAAATATGAACAGGACGCGCTCAGAACTTGAGTGAAATGTGTGAATGTGAGAAGCAATGCTGTTCATGTAGAGAGAGATTGTCAACCAAACAGAATGTTAACAGAATGAGTAGTCTTGGCGAAAGAGAAAACAAAGCACCAGCACAACAGCCGGCGCATTAGCACTATATACACAGGATGTGCCCAGCGGCCCGGAGGACATTTGTAGATGGGAGAGCGCGGGCAGGCGAGAGATTTTGTATAGCAACATGTACAAACATAGAGACACTGGCACACACACACACACACACACACACAGACGAGAGCTACGAATCACCGGCTAAGTATTTCTCAACGTCCTCGCTTGGCACCAGGTCTTTCCAGCTGGCTCCGGGATGGTAGCCAATGTTACGCTTGCGTGCCCGCTCTTTCTCTTCTTCAAGGTCCGCCCAGCGGATACGATACCCTCGCGAATTCTTCTTGCGGATGACAACGTCACCGGCGTCAGTAGCCTCTACCCCGTGTTCTGTATTACTACTAGCTCTGTCAGTCAAACCCGTCCAATCAGCGATGGATTGTGCAGCTGACGACGACGACGCATCGCCACTCGATCTGAGACCGTCGAGACGGTCAAGCCGATCTCCGCCGCCACCGCCACCACCAGACGACGACGACTCCCAACGACTTCGCACCGGATGCAGCGCTGCCGCAGATGATCCATTGTCGTCGTCGCCATCATCATCGTCTTCATCACCATGACCTTGTTTGATAGTAGCGGCTGCCGTCTGCTCCGAGCCATCACTATCATCGTCATCATTGGCCGGTATAGATTTCTCATTGCTAACATTATCTGTTGTTGTTTGTGTGGCGGACACATTGTTGTCATCGTTGTCACTGTCATCAGCCATCTCCACCTCGGCTATAGCTTCACGGTACAGGCCGCTAACGTCCAGGCGCTTGAAATTGGCCGGCGTGGATTCCCAGGCGTCGTGCAGTGCCCGAATGTCGTCGAGTGTGCGCTGATGAACGTTGCGATCGGCACACAGCTCCACCGGCTCCTCCAGGTCGGCGATGTACACTTCAAAACCTTTCAGCTTAGCTGCCAGCCAGAACTGCTCAAAGTGCGCCACCTTTTGATTGACGCAGTCGAGCAGGATCATCTTGAAGAGGCCGTCGTCCAGGGTGCGGCTAAACGCTTTCAGCATGGACGCGCGGCACGCCGGTTCCGCCGCCTCGTCGTAGTCGTACTCTTCGCGCTTGACCTTGACGCGTCGGCCGGTGTCCGGATCCTTCTCCGTCACCTCCGTCTCCGTCATGAAGTAGTCGTCAAGCGATAGGATACGTGGCGCCTCACCTCCGTTGGCCACCTCGCGATCCCGCAGCTTCTTGGCCGCGTGTGTCTTGCCCGAGCCGGGCAGACCGCGCAGGATGACAACGATGTTAGCCGGCCGAGCGGACCGTGCCTCCTCACCGTCCAGTAGACTCTCGATGAGTACAGTCTCGGCGGGAGGTGGGGCGGGAACAGCAACGGGAGGTTTGGTATAACCATCCGCCGCACCACCACCTCCGCGAGCATCAACATCACCATGGTGATGATGGTGGTGGTGACCATGTGATGATGGTCCACCGGCTGATGGTGGTGGTGGTGGATGGCGAGGCTGCGAATGCGGATGGCCATCGTAACGATGCCCACCGTCGGTTGTTGGCCCCCAGTGTCCACCACGATGATCACGTGGCGGTGGTCTGTCCACAGAGGACCCTGAATAGCCCCCACCGCCAGGGTGACGGGATCGGTCGTCGTGGCGATGATGATACCGCTCGTAGTCGTCACGGCGATAATCATCATAGCGACGCGGCGGCGGTGAGCGCCGTTCCCGTTCCCGGTAACCATGGTCACTGCCGACGGCCGCGTACCTGGTGTCGTCATGACGATCATAGCGGCTAGGTGCGCGCGCCTCCACAGACATAAGGCTTCGTGGTGCCTCCGCGCTATCATGAGCAGGTGGCAGCGGCCGCGAACTGGCTGCATGTGAGTGCGATGCTGCTGCTGCTGGACCTGCTGGTGTTTTGTGGTGGTAGTCTTCGGTACGGATTACTGGTTGCCACGGCGTTGATGATGACGCGGATGGCGGGTCTGATGCAGCCGGCGGTGGTGGTCGATGCGGCGATGCGTGATGGCCGGGATCGGTGCGTGCCGATGCTGTTACGTCACGCTGCTGTAGCTGGTGGCCATACTCGTAATCATAGGCTGCTGACGCTGGCGACGATCGTACACTGGATAGCTGAGAGCGGTGGCTGCTGTCCAGCGATGTCGCCACGGAGGATGGCTGGCCGTGCGTGCGGTGTGCGTAACCGTCGTCACCATGGTTACGGTACTCTGCTGTATGACCACCGCTGTTATCTACCGCCGACGCAGACGATGGTGCTGCACCGCTGGTGGTACGGGTGGAAGACGGAGGCGGTTGCGCTGTGTGACTGGTATCACCGTCTACTGCATGCCAGCGTGACGCACCGCTGCCTCGGCTGTACTGCTGCGACGACGACGATGCTGGAGCACGCTGCTGTTCACGTGTATCCAACTCTGATCGTGCCCAATTACCACCACCACCACCAGCAGAAGGTGCAGCTGAAGGATAGCCTGTTGAACCACTGGCCGGGTGGTGCTGGTGATGATGAGCCAGTTGATTATAGGAATACTGAGATGACGGTGCTGCGGAGTGTGCAGCGGATGACTGCGCTGATGGGGCAGCAGCAGCATCACTGGACCATCTGGATTTGCTCCGCCATGCACTCGTACTACCGCTGTTGTTATCATGATCAACAGCAGCAGCATCACTGGGCCATCTTGATTTGCCCCGCCATGCACTCACACCACCGCTGTTATCTTGATCAACCGCAGCAGCAGCGGCAGTTCCAGTGGATGTCTGCTGGCCGTCATGTCCACTATAGCCATCTCCACGTTGCTGCTGCTGTTGTTGTGTCGGTGGCTGTGACCACTGCTGCTGCTGTTCTGCTGCTGGCGGCGGCCGATAGGCAGAGTCCCGCGGACCTGCTGACGGCGGGTACGCTTCCGCGGAAGAGTGCTGGTACGCAGCGTGTGTATGCTGCTCAGAACTTTTACTGGTATCACTAGAAGCAAAGCTGCCAGCAGTAGCAGATGCTGAACCGGCGTAGGGTTGAGTAGCAGCGGGCTGAGACCACGACTGCTGCTGCTGCTGATGATGCTGATGGTGTTCGTAGCTATTCCCAGCGTAAGATTGCGGATAGCCAGCAGATGTTGTCGACGACCGCTGATCGGCTCCTGCTGCTGCTGCTGCTGTTGTTGATTGGTACGTCGCTGGGTGAGTCATCGGGTTTGCCGCATTGCCGTGACCACCAGAGCCCTGCTGGGCATGTGGGGCGGCGCCATGGACACCGTTGTGCCAGCTGGCGCCGGCGTCTTGATTGTAGTGTGACGCTCCACCAGCAGCACTACCGGTGGTTGTGGTTGCTTGAGGATATTGCTGATAGCTAGCAGCAGTAGCACCAGAATGCTGTGCTGGCCACGACTGACCCCAGGCCGAGTTCCACGGTGCAGCTTCCGGTTGTTGCTGCTGCTGCTGTTGTTGCTGTGGTGCGCCATAGCCCTGTGCTACGCCATACTGCTGTGCACCACTGTAATCCACTGTATGGCTGCTGTACTGTGCCTGCTGTGATTCCTGTGCCTGCTGTGGCACGTTGCCAGCCTGCTGCCAACCATAGGAGGACTGCATGCCTGTGAAGTATTGCTAGCGACCGGCTTGGCCACGTCAGGTCTACGCATGCACACACGTGCGCGTGTCCACGTGTCTGCGTATGTGCACACGGTCAAGCCAGTTGATAGTCTGTACTGATACCGGTGATTGATGGTGAACAGGTCACATGACCGTCACATGATCACCACAGTTCATTGCATTCAGTAGGTGTCAGCTATGGTACAGGATATCTGGTGTACTGCCTGAATGCAAACAATCAAACACACATACACACACACCACACACACATATACACACGCACACGCACACACACACACACACACACACACACACACACACACACACACACACACACACAGGCACCCCTCACTGATCTGCACGGACACAGCTGGTCATACACTATGCATGTACAAGTGTTCGGGGATTTCTACAACGCCATTTCTTCAATCCGCCACCACCCCAAGCATGCGCCTGCAATGCAACTGGACGGAGTAGCGGAACTCTGCTAAGTGTTCAGTGCATTGCACAGTGCAGCATACCCCCACAGCTGAGCTCTCCAGGGCTACCAAAGGAAATAATTATTTGACTGGCTATAGGATAATTCACATCGCCACGCCATGCACGTGCACAACAAGCAGGCTTCGAAAGGTGTTCATATCGCCACGCCACGCCATGTACGTGCACAACAGGCAGGCTTCGAACTTCAAAGAGTGAACGATTGAATACATGTACTAGGTAACATCAGGCAAGATGAGGAGTTTAAATCTTTGCAGGAATTATGTCTTTTCGCAACTCTGCTCACATCACATCTTACTAGCATTCTCAAACAAACAAAAGACTTTGCATGAATGATGGAAGAAAGAAAGCCTTCAGATGGTCGCCGGGGAATATATTCACAGTTAGTAACAGACGCAGGTGTGACAATTTTTTCTCCTTTTGAAGTGGAAATGTTAGATAGTCCTCAAGTTGTGACGAGAAAGTTTCAATGAGTGAGAATTGCCTCATTCGAAGTATTTTCTCACCTGAATTTTTAGTTGTTGTGGCTGCTGTCGCCTACTCCAACAGCAGCAGAGTGAGCTCAAATTAAGGAACAGAACTATCAACGCAATAAATACAATGTAAAGACAAAAGTAGCTCTACTTTACTTTACAATGTGGCAAGACAATCGATGAATGATGAGTTCGAGTGTCGACAAAGACTGGAAAGAGAGAAACTGCATGCTGTTTATTTTTTTGCGTACATTCTTTCTGTTGTTGGGTACTAAAGTAGCGGTATTTTAGTACTCTCGATCGTAGTGCATGTTGGGCAAGCTTTTGCGCTGAAAAGAACATTCCGCGCGATAAAAACCAAAATTTCAAAAAAAGCTAGAGATTGACGATAATTATCATCATCACTTCATTCGAGGACATTATGCAGGAAATGACAGATGAAAGCTCGCCATTGCAATACGAGCAATGTGATTGAAGTAGTACCTTCCACCATCTTGCCCACTGAACTGTACTGATGTAGCTCCTCCATTGACGGCAACATGCTGGTTATTTTTGCTCGCATACCCGTCGGGCAGCTACGCAAACTGAAATGTCTGCACGAATCCGAGGTAATTGATGATATCCCTGTCTGTCTGCGTTATGATATGCACAGTCTCGTGCTTGGTTCTTGCGCTGGGGATTTTCCCTGGCCTGGCTCAGGCTCAAAGTATAATATACATACCATCCCGCTGGCATGGGTTCACTAGAAATTATGATATTTTGGATCATAGCAATGATGTACAATACATGTACAAGCATTGGGAGATTTCGAATTCGTGCTGTTCATAGTGTAACTTCAGAACTCTGCGTCAAGCAGCTATAATAGAGAGGTTAAGTTCAGCTCACGTTATTTGGCGCGCGCTTTGGAAAACAACGCGAGTGACCTGCAGCTCGTGTCGAAATTTGGAGTTTTATGCCGAATTTGACGTGAAATTGCGCGTCACGGCAGAAATAACGTGCATCTTAACCTCTCTAGTCCTGTAGCTGTTGATGGATGGTATAATCATGATCACTGAAGCTGTATACAGCTGTATTCTGCTCAAGTGCAGTTTATACATCAAATCATTCAAACTATTGATTACTGTGATCTCAGCATCAACATGACATGGGCATTGGGTTCTTGTGTGTGTGTGTGTGTGTGTGTGTGTGCGCGCGCGCGCGCGCGCGCGTATGTGTGTGTATGCACTGACTGCAGATTGACGAAATCCAGGGTCTGTATACGGAGGCCAATTCCAGTATTTGGCTTGGCTGGACATGCAGTGGCAACACTAGTAGTGATGATGATGATGCCAGGTCTCAGTCTCCTATACCTACTGTAGATTCTGTAGCAGCAGAGACAGTGGGGGCAAGGGCCAGGGATGCTGTATTGCATGGTCTACCATCTCCAGACTGTGTTATCACCACACACTCAACTCCAACAGTGATACGGTTAGTGATGATAGATGTGTGTGTGTGTGCGTGTGTGTGTGTGCGTGTGTGTGTGTGTGTCTGTGCATGTTTGCGTGTGTGTGAATGGACACATGCCCCATGTGGAGCAGTGGTATGTCCGCTCAGTTTCCAATCAGAGGCTGCAGGTTCAAGAGATGTCATGTGATTGCACGGTGAATTTGAAGTGCTTTGGCTCTGCCGCAGCATAGCGATGCATTAACCCAAGTGAACCCACCGACTCTCTCTGTACACTATGCTCCCATAAGTGGATCCGCCAACTCACACTGTAAAGTATACTTTTACGGCGTTATCACCCATACACACATCGGCCAACTCACCAGAATGTCATCATTTGTATGACCTCTATTCCTGACTATGATGGTCATGCATCGTCCTAAGCGCCGCTCAGGCAAGCCATGCCATAATATTATGTGAGTGTGTATGAATCAGTCTTGCACCAAGCCTTGGCGACTGTAACGGGCAGCCTGAGAGTGAAACACACATCGGTTAGCGTTACAGTCGCCTGCCTTGTCTCCCTCAATGCTGCGATTCCCCGGTGGTTACCAGTAGCCAGTGCATGCCAGAGCATGTGGTGCGATATATCTGTGTGTGTGGGACGAAAAAGGGGAAACAGATATGAATCAATCTAGGGTTTAGTGGCCAGGAAGATCCCTTCAAAAAGCTGTGCAGTGCAAAAGTAAATTTAAACCTGCACACGTGCACTACCAAGGGCAGTAGCAAGGGCAGTAGCAAGGGCAGTAGCTAGGGCAGTAGCTAGGGCAGTAGCAAGGGCAGTAGCAAGGGCAGTAGCAAGGGCAGTAGCAAGGGCAGTAGCAAGGGCAGTAGCAAGGGCAGGAGCAAGGGCAGTAGCTAGGGCAGTAGCTAGGGCAGTAGCAAGGGCAGTAGCAAGGGCAGTAGCAAGGCAGTGGCGGATCCAGGGGGGGTTCCGGGGGTTCCATGGAACCCCCTAAATTTTGCAAAGTGTGTGGCTGAGAAATATCGAAAAATATCATGTGTGCACAAAAGGACGTCCGTCCGATCACAGACTCAGTCAGTGGCAGTCACTTAGTCAAGGAGCACAGACTGTCAGTCAGTGCACTGCATGCGCGTGCGGTAGATCGACACTGTACGGATAGTAGTCTGTACTGGTGTTCACGTCCGTGATTTACAAACGGACACTGTAGACAACATTGGGTGGTTGTTTCCTTTTTGATCTTTCGAAACGATCCAAACTTACCTCCATTGGCAGGGGCGTGCTCGGCCCCCCAACTAGGGGGGTGCACGGGAGCCGAGGGGAGCCCCCCGGCAATTTTCTGCAATTTGTTTGCAACCTTTCTTGAATTTTAGAGCATATTTGCATACATTACAATTGCCTTGGATCAGATTGAAAATTTTTGGGGGGTGCACGTGCCCCCCCGTGCCCATCACCGAGCACGCGCCTGATTGGCGCTGTCATTCACTGCTGCTCAGGATCGGTGTGGTGTGGTCAGTATTCCTTGGACAAGTTTTTTGCAGAAGAGAAAGGACGTTCCGAGTACTGACACTCTTCAACGAACTTCGAACCGTACACGTAGAGTTCAAGCTCCTCGGAATATAATAATCTTTATTTCAGGATTACCCAAAGGCTGCAGCGCTGACGCCTATCAAGATGAGGGCTCCGACATCCAAGCAAAGTCAGTAATCTCTACCTGCTGCAGCATGCAGTAGTGACTAGTTGTTCCTCCGCAGGAACGGAGTGCTGCGCCAGATGTGTTTCAGATGACATCGGAAGGATTGTACAATTGTCGACACTGTTCCGCTATTGTTGTTTCTGTCACTGAAGTGAAGACGATGCTCTTGTCCTGTGACTATAGAGCATTTTGCATTGTAAAAAATGCCAAAAATTTCCGAAAGCACAAATGGACAGGGAAAGTAACTTGGTTGTCATTTCGGCATTCCTGGCTCTCAACGTACCCATGGCTTGCATATTCGATCTTTACAAGAAGTTGAAAGGGTCTTCCGTACTAAATAATATACAATGTAGGGTAAGCAGCAGCATTTGGCCCTGTCCAGGTTTTCCATCGTCCACCACACCACAACTGCGCTCCGACTCAGTCTCCAGCGATGGTGCAGTGGTGGTGTGCTGTGGCAACGTGTCGAGGCCGGCTGGAGAGCGCAGTTATGGTGTGGTCGATGATGGAAAAATATAATAATTATTATGTCCGTAGTGTGTGTTTAAAAGCATGCGATTCCCACTAACACAATCGGATTGTTGTTATTACAAGTGCCAACCGCACATCTGATTCCATAATATTTTGGCTGTTCAATTTTGGTTCAACCGGAACCCCCCTGTAGAGATCTCTGGATCCGCCCCTGCAAGGGCAGTAGCAAGGGCAGTAGCAAGGGCAGTAGCAAGGGCAGTAGCAAGGGCAGTAGCAAGGGCAGTAGCTAGGGCAGTAGCAAGGGCAGTAGCAAGGGCAGTAGCTAGGGCAGTAGCAAGGGCAGTAGCAAGGGCAGTAGCAAGGGCAGTAGCTAGGGCAGTAGCAAGGGCAGTAGCAAGGGCAGTAGCAAGGGCAGTAGCAAGAGCAGTAGCAAGGGCAGTAGCAAGGGCAGTAGCTAGGGCAGTAGCAAGGGCAGTAGCAAGGGCAGTAGCAAGGGCAGTAGCAAGGGCAGTAGCAAGGGCAGTAGCTAGGGCAGTAGCAAGGGCAGTAGCAAGGGCAGTAGCAAGGGCAGTAGCAAGGGCAGTAGCTAGGGCAGTAGCTAGGGCAGTAGCAAGGGCAGTAGCAAGGGCAGTAGCAAGGGCAGTAGCAAGAGCAGTAGCAAGGGCAGTAGCAAGGGCAGTAGCTAGGGCAGTAGCAAGGGCAGTAGCAAGGGCAGTAGCAAGGGCAGTAGCAAGGGCAGTAGCAAGGGCAGTAGCTAGGGCAGTAGCAAGGGCAGTAGCAAGGGCAGTAGCAAGGGCAGTAGCTAGGGCAGTAGCAAGGGCAGTAGCAAGGGCAGTAGCAAGGGCAGTAGCAAGGGCACTACCAAGGGCACTACCAAGGGCAGTAGCAAGGGCAGTAGCTAGGGCAGTAGCAAGGGCAGTAGCTAGGGCAGTAGCTAGGGCAGTAGCAAGGGCAGTAGCAAGGGCAGTAGCAAGGGCAGTAGCAAGGGCAGTAGCTAGGGCAGTACCAAGGGCAGTAGCAAGGGCAGTAGCAAGGGCAGTAGCTAGGGCAGTAGCAAGGGCACTACCAAGGGCAGTAGCAAGGGCAGTAGCTAGGGCAGTAGCTAGGGCAGTAGCAAGGGCAGTAGCAAGGGCAGTAGCAAGGGCAGTAGCAAGGGCAGTAGCTAGGGCAGTACCAAGGGCAGTAGCAAGGGCAGTAGCAAGGGCAGTAGCTAGGGCAGTAGCAAGGGCAGTAGCAAGGGCAGTAGCTAGGGCACTACCAAGGGCAGTAGCAAGGGCAGTAGCAAGGGCAGTAGCAAGGGCAGTAGGATGTGTTTAGATGTGTGCTGTACACAAGGGCAGTAGCAAGGGCAGTAGCAAGGGCAGTAGCAAGGGCAGTAGCTAGGGCAGTAGCAAGGGCAGTAGCAAGGGCAGTAGCAAGGACAGTAGCAAGGGCAGTAGCAAGGGCAGTAGCTAGGGCAGTAGCAAGGGCAGTAGCAAGGGCAGTAGCAAGGACAGTAGCAAGGGCAGTAGCAAGGACAGTAGGATGTGTTTAGATGTGTGCTGTACACAAGGGCAGTAGCAAGGGCAGTAGCAAGGGCAGTAGCTAGGG